ATGGAAATATTTACTATTTAAGCTGCAAAATTCTGGGTGATCCTCCACTGTTTTACATTAGAATAGAACAAAAGAAAACAATAATTTTAACATCATACTTCTATCAATCTAACCAAAAGCATATACACAGAAAATTCATTCATTCATCTAAATGTTTAGGCTCTACAATGCCAAATAAATTTACCTGAGTACTCAGAACTATTTTTGTATTCTTTAAATGTATTTTCTGACCTTTTCCACAATATCTCAATTTACAGTTGATCAGAAAAATACTGTTGTTATGTATTATCAAATTAGGACTGTCACAAAGCTGACCTTTCAGAGGCAGTAAATCACAAGGGAGGAGAAGGGTCATCTTTCCCCTGTGAAGTAGCTGGTGACTGGCAGAATGTCCAACAGTAGTTGGTGGATTTGAACCACATGGTAATGGCAGTGCAACTACTCACAACTAAGCCACCAGAGCTCCCTGATCAGCAGGACACTGATTATATTATCACGAAATAAGCAAAATAATAATGGGTGATGGGTTACTAGAAATAATTTTTCCAAACAATATAGTGGTGATAAAATAGAGGTGAGTTTTAGCTTTATTAGGGAGCTCTGGTGGCCCATTGTTAAGTAAGAGTGTCAAGTTCACCAGCTTCTCTGTGGGAGGATAGGCAAACTCCTTCCATGTTATATATTTCCTCTGAAAACTCACTGGAGTACAGTTGGTGGATTTTCTAAGGTTACTTTGTCAATAAACAATAGATCTGAATAATTATTCATGAATATCAGCTATCATATTGTACCACATAAAATAGTTCGCTCTCTTGCTGACAGATGTGTCTATCACCACATTATCTATATAAAAATTATGACCTCACTGCTCTTGTCTTCAGGGTAGGGTCATGCCCTTTTGAATAGGCTTGTTGACCCTGAGGAGAATGGGCATTCTGTTAAACACCTGAAAAAATCTGCTACCAAGAAAAGAAATCATTAACACAAAAAGGTAGACCTCAGAGAAACAGGGAAGAATAAATATTTCTCTCTAGGATTTGGTTTCTTGGATACATCCCTTAAGTAGTGTAAGGTTTCTTAAGAATGCTCCTAGGTGAGGGAGCTCTGGTGTCCTAGTGGCAAGAAGCTGCACTGCAATTCCAGAGGTATGTGGTTTGAATCCACCAGATGCTTTGCTGGAGAAGGAGGGGCAATCTCCTCGTATACCAGTCAGATACAATTTGACAGTATACACACACACAAAAAAGAATTTTTTTTTCTTTTTTTAAAAAAAGAATGTTCCTAGGTGATAAACTCACTACTAACAAGCTAAGTTTTAGCTTACCCTCCAGTAGGTTTTCAGAGGCAGCAAACTGCATGGAAGAAAACTGCCCATCTTTGTCCTGTAGAGAAGGTGGTGGATTCAGATGGTTTGCCTGGCTTCACAGCACTGTTTCTTATCATTAGTCCCTAATAGCTCCCTACCATAGTGGGTAGTCCTAAAAAAATGTTTGAAAGCCACCACTGTCCAAAAAGAAAAGGTCTGTTCCAACTTACAGAAACCCTTCAGGATAAAGAAGAACTGGCTCTACAAAGGTTTTAAGGCTGTAAATCTTTACAGATGTGGACTCCTTTCCTTTTCCTGCTGAGTAGCTGGCTGGTGGCTTTAAACTGCTGACTCTGTCATGAGGGCACAAATCTCATCACTGAGATTATATAATTTCACATTACTCTTTACTGTTTAGACTTCAGAAAAGTAGTATGTAAATTTTCCAGCCTGTGTACCTGCTGAGCTACAAGAGTTTGAAGTCTTACAGCCAAGCATTAACTACAGGAGAACTGAGGAGAAATTGCACCCTCTTCTGGCCAGCACAGAAATTAAATGGGCTGCCCTGGGAGGACACCTGGAAGAACTATTGTTGTGGCTAGCTGCTATGGCATAGACTCTAGACTTCAGGTGGCCAGAGCTATGGTATACAATTGTCTCTTTTCATATGGAGCTTTATTCTTAAACTATTATTTGAGAAAATCTGGGTTATTTTATAAGAAAATCTGGAAACTTCCTTATACATTATTTCATCTAACCAACTGAACCTGTTAATTAAAACAAATGCATGAAACCAAAATGTGACTTTTGAGTCTATAGCACTTGAGTTTAAAAAAACCATCTCAATAAACAGAACACTAATAATGAATATCACAGGAGTTATGAAATGACATCTTAAAAGATCATCCTTTAAGAAAGTAAAAGGTCATTACAAAGATGGGAAGAAAGAAAAAATCAAAATCAATGGCAAAAGAGACTTTGAAAACAGCATTAGCACATGGAGACACCTTGTCCACCCTTACGAGCATGTCCTTCTCCAAGGACTGATTGATCTCTCCTGGCCACTTGCCCAAATTAAGTGAGGTGGAACTTCAAAATCCTAGCCTCCAAGAAGAGACTTATTTTAAACCTTTTCAAAACAGACCTATTTGTTTTCTTGGCAGTCCATGGTATGTTCAAGACTCTTCTCCAGCATCACAACTCAAAGGCATCTACTCTTCTTCTGCCATTCTTAGTCACTGTCCAACTTTCTGAAGCATAACAAGTAATTGGAAAAAAAAACATGGCCTGGAGTAGGGGCATCTTTGTATCTAGACTGACACTGTTGCTCTTCAAGCACTCTGGATAGGTCCATGACAGCAGATTTTCCCAATGCAATTCATCTTTTGAATTCTTGGCTGCTGGTATTAAATCTTGATTGTGGATCCAAGCAAGCTGTAATTGCTAACAACCTTAATTTCTTCTCCATCTATTATGACACTGCCAATTGGCCCAGTGGTGAGAATCTTTGTCTTCTTGATGTTGAGCTTCAATCCATATTGAAGACTACAGTCCTTGACCTTCTGTAGCAAGTGCCTCAGGTTCTCCTCAGTTTCAGCAAGCAACCTTTAATTTAATACGAATTAAAGGCTCAACATCAAGAAAACAAGATTTCTGACCACTGGACCAATAGGCACCATCACCATAGAGAAGACTGAAATTGTCAATGATTTCATCTTGCTTGGATCCATAATCAACACCCCTGGTACCAACAGTAAATTAATCAAAAGACATATTGCACTGTGAAAATCTGCTGCCAAGAACCTCTCTAGAGTGCTGAAGAGAAAGGATGTCAGTTTAAAGATTAAGGTGCACCTGATCCAAACCATTGTTTTTTTCAATTGTTTCATGCATCTGAAAGTTGGACAATGAATAAAGATGACAAAAAGAGAATTGCCGTTAAATTTATTTATTTATTTTATGTGTGTACCATCAAATTGGATCTGACTGGTACAGGAGGCGATTGTTCCTCCTTCTTCAGCAGAGCATCTGGTGGATTTGAACCGCGCACCTCTGGGATTGCAGTGCAGAATTGCCTTTAAATTGTGGAGTTTGAGAAGTATACTGAATATTCCCATAGATTACCAAAAGAACAAATAAGTCTGTCTTGGAAGTAAATGCAACTACGGTTCTCCTTGGATTAAAGGATGATGAAACTTCATTTCACATACTTTGGGCATGTTGTACAGGGTAGTCAGTCCTAGGGAAAAGACCTCATTCTAGGAAATGCGGAAAATTCAGAGAAAGAGATGAAGACAATTAGCAAGATGGACTGACAGAGTGACTCTAACAATGGACAGAGATTGGGAGGATAGCAGAGGATATGACAAAGCTCAGATCTGTTGTTCATAGGGTTCCTAAAAGTAGTAGCTGACTTGACAGAACCCAACAACAATAACAACTAAACTTATTCCTATAAATCAGAGGTAAGGTGTGAATAATTAGCTAATAGTTGTAGTTGTTGTTGATTGTCTTCAAGTCAAGCACAATTCATAGCACCCTATGAACAAGAGGCCTGAAAACCCCTTTACAACTATCAACATTTATCAAAGTTCATAGGGTTTCCAGAGGCATGTTATTTAGGAAGTGGATGCCACTCCTGGTGGCCTGTTATTAGCTAATAGTTAACAAGTGAGCTCTAGTGGCCTAGTGGTAAGAATCCACGCTGCAATCCCAAAGGTATGTGGTTTGAATCCAATAGCTGCTCCACAGGAGAAGGATGGACAGTCTCCTCCCGTGCAATTTCAGCCTCTAAAAACTCAGTGGAGGGTCAGCTGTGGGTTAGTTAACAACAACAACAGAGGTGGCTAAAACTGCACTAAATTGTTTGTGTCATTATTTCAAGATTGCATAGGTTTGTACGTGCTACAGCCAAGTCAATTCTAACTTATGACAATCTCATGTTTATCAGGGTAGAACTGTGCTCCATAAGGTTTCTAATGGTGCATATGACCAGGCCTTTTTTTTCTGAGATTCCTCTGAATGCACTGGAACCTTTACTCTTTTGGTTAGCGCTTTAACTATCCGTACCACCATGAGATTCTCTTATAAGAAGGGTGAATACATATAGAACTATATACCAAACTAGGATACTTTTCAGGCTGAAAGCTGGCATTCCTAAAACAGGACACTGGAATAGCAGTTGTTACCTGGTATTGTCTCAGGCAAATGTGGGTATGTGGTCACCCCACTCACAGGGAACAGAAACACAAACTGCTCTGAAATGTTCTCTTCAGTGTTCATGGGGTTATTAATAAGGTTCTAATCCACCAGCTTCTCTAAGGTCGAAGGATGGACAGTCTTCTCCACTAAAATTTACTGCCTCTGAAAACCTGCTGGAGGTTCAGCTCTGGATTGGTTCTGACTCAACGGCACACAACAACAAAATGAAGCCTTGTAAACATAATTAATACAATCCTTTAAAAAAATATTTTTAAGAAAAATACTAGAGGCACGCAAAAATGTTTTTCTAAGAAAATGGAACATAAAATTAAAAATGATATTTCTATAATTTAATGTAGATAATTGGGCAAAACACATCCTCTAACTCCAATTTATAAACTACTTTAAATATGATATACTAAATTCTTTATTTGTGTAACTTAAATCTCTGCATAATAGTCTCTGGAAGTAGAACAGAGAAATCTAAGTGTACCTTGTCTTCATACATCCTTTTTGCTTCTCTTAACTCAGAACGTAGCTGAGAAACAGTAGATTCCAGGTCACTGAGCTGACGCATATACATTGAATTCTGGTTTCTTGCTTGTTCTCTAAGTTTAAGGAGAAATAAAATCAAACAGCAAGCTAAGAATACAAGATATATAAGGGTCTTCTAGTTTGTAGACACCACCATTAGTTCTTGTATATATTACCTTTTATTTTCTAAAACTGACTCAGCTGAAAAATGTTAATTGCTGAAGCTAGGTGATAGATAGATGGGAGTTCAGGAATTTTCACCTTTCTTTTGTATATGACTAAATAAATAAAATGTTGGAAATTTTTTATCAACTCAAATAATAAAAATATGAATATGCACATATATTTATATATATTAATATATGTGTGTACATATATCTATATATGGTGTGTGAATTTATGCTTTATCACAGTTGAAATATGATACTCAATTAAGATATTCAATCCCAACAGGCCTAAATACTTGCAAAAATACTTCTGATATGGTCAGATATATTTTTATATATTTATATCTTTTCTGTTCACTTGAATATTAGAAAAATGTTATTTCCTGTGTAATAAATTACTAAGCCACTTTAGAATTGTTGTTGTGGTGTACTGTAGAGTCGGAACTGATGGGTTTTCGGAGGCAATTAATTACACGGGAAGAGACTGCCCATCCTTCTCCCGTGGAGCAGCTGATGGCCTCAAAACTGTGTACCTTTGAAATTGCAGCTCAGCTTCTTGCCACTAGGCCACCAGAACGCCTTTCAGAATAGAAAATTAATTAAAATAATATCTCTAAAATTAATAGAAAAGATTATCTAGCTCATACCACCAGGACACATACTGAATGATTTCCAACTGACTTTGGATGCTATTGGCTTGGCTTCGAGCACTGCTAGCTTTCTCAGTAAGCCCTGATATTTCAACTTCATGTTCATTCATTAACTGTTCAATCCTGTACCAAAAAAAAAATGTGGGAGAGGGGAGGTTGAGTGTCATTTGCTAGAGAAGATCTGGCCTGGTTACAAATGATTTCAAAATACTAGTGATTTTCAACATTTTACATTTATTATCTTGCTTTGGCTTTGAATATGCTACTTTTCAATGAAAAGTATCTAAGATCCAAAATGCTTTATCTAAATCCCTTAAGGATTAGCTAAACTTGAAAATTCTAAGTATTTTTAATGTTACAAAGGCACAAAATTACAAATACCATGCTACATAGTACTCTCAGGGAGATGCAGGGTGCAGGGCAGCATCCGGTAAAGCAAACCTATCAGTAATGCAACAACAGGCTTATAAATGTTGTTGGGTACAGCAGACTTGGCTCTGCTTATAGTGACTCTACGTACAACAGAATGGAACCTTGTTCAATCCTGCACCATCCTCACAATTGCTGCTGTGCTTGAAGTTTACAAATGGTCATGCTAAATCATCTTGTTTTGTGTACTGTCAAGCTGGAACCAACTTCAGAGCTGACCCTCCAATGGGTGGTGGATTAGTGCTAATGAGATACACTGCCAATGCAAGGTACATGGGTCAAATCCACCAGCTGCTCATCAGGAGAAAGATGGGAAATCATCTCTTGTGAGATTTACTGCCTCTGAAAATCTGCTTTAGGGTGAGCTATGAGTCAATTCCGATTTGATGGTACATAACAACAATTAGCAATAAAAATAAATTGCATGGAAGGAAACTGCCCATTCTTTCTCCCACCAAGCAACCAGTGAATTTGAAATGTATGCCTTTAGGTTTGGCTGCGCAACTCCTTAAACCTAAACCACCAGAAGCTAAAATGATAGATTACAGAAATCTTACACTAACTCAGATTTTGTCAACAAATGAATTTGCCATAAATCTATTAAGTAAAGCTTTTAGTCAGAGCTTTTAAGATTTTTAAATTGCAAATGAGAGACTGAGGACCCATGCTGCTGCTTTTCTATAATTTTCTGTACCTGAAAAACCTACCGATCTTGATGTTGCTGAAGAAGTAGTTCTATTTTGTTCTGTGATTCAGATTTTAGTGCTTCAAGCTGTTCTTCTACCTGGTTTGAGAAAAGAGACATTGATTTAGAGATTGGTCCAACTGAAATGTGAAAAATTTAGGGATTTTATAACTAAGAAATGCTTTAGAAATCAGCAAGTACAAGTAATACTAAAATTAGATACATTCTAATGAAATCTTTAACTCTGGCTTTATTTTCATGAAGCTATACAAGTAAATTCAGTTAGCTCTGCATTTATTAACAGAGGTAATTACATATTATTTTTTAAAAAGGGTAACTTGGCTTACTTTTAAGATTTAAAAAAATCTTTAAAGTTTAATACTATTCTCTTAATGAGTTTTAATATAAAACAAAAGTAGTGTTCTCACCACTTACTGGAAATATCCTCCCTTTAAGATAAGAAATCTCTGTGTCTAAATCTCTCAAGATTTTACTAACAGCTGAGCCCAAGTTACGGATGTGAAGAGTAGGCAGGCTTTCATGATCATATACTTTCTTGCCTGAGGCTTCTTCAAAGTCAACCAGGACAGTTCGGATTTCTTGAAGCACTCCTTCATGAGTGAGCATCATTTTTCTTAGCTGCTCTATCTGTGCACTGCTATCTTTTAGCATGTCCTCCTTGAGGCATTTGGCAGCTTCAAGTTCATGAACTGTATTCTGAAGTTGATTTCTTAAATCATCCTGGGACTGATTCTCTCTCCGTCTATGAGATTAATTGAAAGAAAAAAAATTGGTAAAATTTGTACTCACATAGGTACTTTCATATTACAAAGAGCAAAATAATTTCAAGAAACAAATAGTAACCTGATGTCAGCCATGGCATCTCTTTCCATTTGCATCTCTTGAAGTTTTGTTTGCAAATCAATGACTGACTGCTTCAAGTAAAACTTTTGTTTCTCATGTAGTTCATTGCTCTGTGGAGGGGGAAGGGGAAGCCACACATATTAGTCTCTTCTATATTTATCTAGGAAAGACTATTCCTTGATGGTCAGCCCAAGAAAGGAAAATCCCCAACAAGATGGATTGACACTGTGACTTCAGCAATGGGATCTAGTGTGTCAGAGATGATGAGGATGGCACAGGATAGAGCAGGGTTCAGGTCAGCTATTCAAAGGTTTACTAACAAGAACAACAACAAAGTAATGATTGCTAAGGAGTCACACTGCTAACCATAGGTCACACCTTTCTGGTGGTTCGAATCTACTACTGGTTTTACAAGGGAAAGATAGGCAATCTCATTCCATCCAATTTACCGCCTCAAAGAAACCCAATGGAAAGTCAGCTATGAGTCAGCTTTGAATTGATCGCAATGAGTGAGAGGAATTCAAAAGAAACTGTGGAATCATATTATGTAGCATGTCAGACTATTAACCACCAGTGGTTTGGATCCACAGGAAAAAAGATGGGTAGTCTCCTCTCCGAAAGAGGATCCCTATAAGTCAGAATAGACTCAACATAGTAGAATGGTTTAGAGGTATATATTTCCTTATAGTTAATAATTTTCAAAGATTAATTTATTTTATTGACAATGCAAAGGCATTTGACTGCATGGATCACAACAAATTGTAGCTGACTCTGAGAAGAATGGGAATCCCAGAACACTTGATTGTACAACGTATAACTTGATTGTGAAACGTATACCTGGACCAATAGGCAGTCATCAGAAGAGAGCAAGGAAACACTGCTTGGTTCAAAATTGGGAAGGGTGTGCATCAGGGATATGTCCTGTCTTCATATCTTTTCAATCTATATGAGGAACAGATTATCCGGGAGGCTGGGCACTATGAGAAGTGTGGCATCAAGATTGGAGGAAGACTCATCAACAGTCTGAGGCATTCAGATGATACAACCCTGCTTGCTGAAACTGAGGAGGACCTGAAGCGCTTGCTGCAGAAGGTCAAGGACCACAGCCTTCAATATGGATTGAAGCTTAACAACAAGAAAACAAAGATTCTCACAACTGGGCCAACTGGCAGCATCATGATGGATGATGAAGAAATTGAGATTGTTGACAGCTTCAGTTTGCTTGGCTCTACAGTCAACACTCTTGATACCAGTAGTCAGGAAATTTAAAGATGGATTTCACTGGGAAAGTCTACTGTCAGAGACCTCTCCAAAGTGCTGAAGTGCAACGATGTCAGTCTGGAGACTAAGGTGAGCCTGATCCAGGCCATGGTCTTTGCAATTACTTGCTATGCATCAGAGAGCTGGACAATGACTAGTGATGCTAGAAGGAGAGTTGATGCCTTTGAGTTTTGGTGCTGGAGAAAAGTACTGAAAACACCATGGACTGGTAGGAGAAAAAACAGGTTCATCCTAGAGAGGCTACTCCTTGAAGGCAAGGATTCTGAGTCAGATTTCTATCTTGTGCAACTCTGTGAAGGTGGCACCACACATAGCTAAAATTATGATTTTGGGGGAAAAGACCATGTTGGAAATGTTGAGTTTACAGAGCCTGACAAATATCTCCAGCAGAAATGTCAGGTAAATACCAGAGTATCCTATACCAACTAAGTGTGGAGCTCAGAAAAGAGGATGTGCTAGAAATATAAACTGAGCACTCACTGGCAAAAAATTACAGTGAAGGTCACTGAAAACAGTATGACTGTATATAGAGAACTTTACTGGAAAAAAAAGACCGAAAAAGAACGAGCTCAGAAAAACTAGAAGCAGCTTGTGTTTCCATAAGACCTAGGAGAAGAGAGTACTTCAAGAGGAAAAAGTTAAGTGTGTCAAATGATAATGAAAAGTCGAGTAAGATAAGGAATAAAAAAGCATTAATTGGATTTAGCATCACTGATACTACTTCTGTAGAACAGATCACACTGTTACTTTTTAAATATCTCATCCATAACACTAAAACTACAACTTTGGAAGGGGCAAGGTCTTTTATCAATCTTTATATAATCAGTACCTAGCACAACATTTGTTATATAGAAAGTAGAGGCTAGAAATTATAAGTATGCAAATATGCCTGCTACTCATTTACTGATTCAAAACATATTGATGAGGAGTCAACAGTCTCAAGTGCTTTTCAGAGGATGAATATAGAAAATGAACGAAGATATTGTGCTTTCTACTCTCATTGCCACCTCCAGGCCTCCTACAGTGACATGTATTTTCATTCGTGTACTTAAGACAAGGTAGTGTTCTTATTAAATCACAATGACTCCTATGCACCCTATTTATCTTTACATTCTGTGCACATTAATTCAGTACTAACTAATTTTCAGTACTTGAAATGAAATTGTGAGTTTTTTCCTACCATGCTATATCTGATGTGTGAAACAGTACACTAAAATGTGTCAAATATTAAAAATGGGCTATGTACAAAAGGCATTAAATGTATAGAGCACAATACACTTAACACTGTCTAGAGAAAAGGATTCAAAGAAGGAAACGCTTAGCTAAGTCTTGATGGGTAAGAGTTTACTAGGTAAACAAAATAGATAAAAGAGAATGGTCAAAGTGTAAAGGTCCATGCATAATAAGATAGTGTAACTAGGGAAAAAGCAAGTAGCTTGGTACCGGTGGATTGGAAAGTAAGGAGATGAAATGAACAGGGAGAGATTAGATTACAAAGAGCTTTGCATAAATGAGTAAAAAGTTTCAAGTTTATGCTAGAGAATGCTGGTATCCAACATGCAATTGTAAAGGCTGGTTAAAGTCCACTTAAACGTATATAAGACCCACTTGATAATTTCAGCAAAAACATCTAGACACCGTTCACCTGGCATTTGTACATACACATTTAACAGCTACCCTCTTGTATTGTTTTGTAAATAGGTATCAAGTTTTGATAGCAGGAAAGCATCCCTGACTCAATTAATCACAGTGGTTGCTCATAAATGCTATCAAGCCATCTCTGAATAGTGATTCCATGAACACCATAACAAAACACTGGCCAGTCCTGTGCCATCTTTACAAATACTGCTGTGCATGATCCCACTATTGTAGCCACTGTGCCAAATGCGTATCACGGACAGTCACCTTTTTTGCTGACCTTGATGAATGTTAATTGAAACATTTTGAGCTACCAAGTTTTACTAAAATTACACCAGTAAACTAAAGCAATTATAAATAATAATTGACAAAAGGAAAACAGATATGTAGAATCTCCAGCAACTCACCTTCTAACACTGAAATAGAAGGGGTCAAATTTGAGAAGTGTCACCAATACAATTATTATAATGTAATGTGCAAAGAGTTATATATAGTTGGAGAATAAAAAGGTAAGAACTCACTTGGCATTACTCAAGCTGAAACAACAGAAGAACAAAATGAAGCCCTGGATTGCAATCCTGAAAGATGTTAGGGCAAAATCTTGAATGATTTGGGAAGCATCATCAGAAGATGGAGGGAATACAAAGAGTTACTGCACCAAAAAGAATCAGTCAACAATGAAATATTTCAAGAATTAGCATATATGATAAAGAGCCAGTGGTGATAAGTGAAGAAGTTTAAAGCTGCATTGAAGACACCAGCAAAAATAAGACCCCAGGTATCTATAGGATACCTATTGACATATTTCAAGTAACAGATGCAGCCTTTGACATGCTCTCCAGTCTGTGTCCAGAAATTGGGAAGACAGTTACCTGATCAACAAGACTAGAAGAGGTCTATTTGTTCCAATTCCCAAGATGAGAGATCCAGTGTTGTTGTGTATAATGTAGTCGGAACAGACTCACAGCCGACCCCCTGGCAGATTTTCTGAGGCAGTTAATTGCACAGGAGGAGACTGTCCATCCTTCTACCATGGAGCAGCTGGTGGCCTTGAACTATGTGCCTTCAGGATTGTAGCACAGCTTCTTGCTACAGAGGTCTATTTGTTCCAACTCCCAAGACAAGAGATCCAATATGATGTGAAAATTAACACACAATTTCATTAATACCATATGCAAGCAAAATATTACTGAAAATCATCCCAAAATGGCTAGAACAGTACACTGACAGGGAACTGTTCAAGCTGGCTTTAAAAGAGGCTGGGTCACCAGGGACCATTGCTAATGTCAGACAGATAGTGAGTGAAATCAGAGAATACCAGAAGAATGTTGATTTGTGCTTCAGCAACTATGCAAAGTTGTTTGTGTGGATCATAACAAGCTATGGATAACATTGAGAAGAAGGGAAATTTCAGAACACTTAGCTGTGCTCATGTGAAACCTGTACCTAGACCAGGAAGCTGTTGTCAAACAAAGCAAGGGAACAATGCATAGTGTAAAAATAAGAAAAGTGTGTGTCAGGATAGTATGTTTTCTCCATATCTATGTGCAATCTGTATGCTGAGCAAATAATTTGAGAAGCTGGACTTTATGAAGAAGAATGTGGTGTTAATATTGGAAGAAGACTCATCAACAATCTGCATTATGCAGTTGACACACATTGCTGAAAGTGAGGAGGACCTGAAGCACTTGCTACAAAAGATCAAGGACTACAGTCTTCAATATAAACGACATCTCAACATCAAGAAGACAAAAATCCTCACCACTGATTAAAGAGGTGATACATGGATAAAGGACTGAAGCTGTCAGTGACTTTATCTTACTTGGATTCACAATAAATACCATTGATACCAGCAGCCAGGAGATCAGAAGATGTACTACATTGTTTATGTCTGCTGTCAGAGACTTCTCTTAAGTCCTGAAAAGTAATGATTTTGGTTTAAAGACCAAGATGCACCTGATCACCTTCTATGCATTTAAGAGCTTGACAGTAAATAAGGATGACAAAAGAAGAATTGAGGCCTTTGAGTGGTGCTGGAGAATAAAACTAAATATCCCATAGACTTCAAGAAGAATAAACAGATGTGTTTTGGAGAAAGTGCAGCCCAAAGGCTCCTTTGAGGGAAGGATGGTGAAATTTCGACTCATACTTTGGGCATGTTGTTGGGAGGGGTTTATTTCTTGAAAAAGGATATCATGCTTGGAGAAGCATAGGTCAGTAAAAAGAGAGGACTACCCTCAACAAGATGGACTGACACTGGACTGTGGCAATAGGCTCAAGTATGTCAGAGACAATAACAGGCAGGATAGGGTTAAGATCTGTTCATAAGGTCACTATGAGTCATATTCAACTTGACAACACCTAACAACAATTTATACACAAACAAGGAATACTGAAGAAAAACCAATCCCTTTGAATTTTGGTTTTGGTGATGAATATTTAATATAACATGGATTGCCAAAAGAATAAACTAATCTGTCTTGGAAGAGGTATAGACAGAATGTTTCTTAGAGGCAAAGAAGGTAAGATTTTGTCTCATATATTTGGGGCATGTTTTCAGAAGCTGCCAGTCCAAGGAAAAGGATATCTGTTTGGAGGAGTAGAAGGAAAGCTCAGTAAAATGGACTGACAATGACAAAGGGCTTAAGCACAACAGAGATTGTGAGGATGGTACAGGACTGGGCAGAGTTTTGTTCTGTTGTAGTCACTATGAGTAGGAGCTTACTTGACAGCATCTAAAACCAACCAACAAATCCATCAGTTTTTCTTCCAGGAAGTTTAGTTTCTATTCCCAGGCAATGTGCCTCACTCACTGCTTTTTCCCAAACAGCATAATTTGTTAGAAGAAGAAAATGCAACTTACTTCACACAGTTTTCTCTGCAAATCTTTAACTTGATTTGAATATTCTTCCAAAACACGTTCAATGTGTTCCTTTGCAGGGTAAGAAATTTTTCTATGAGAATCAAGTTCCAGTTCATATTTAGGGAACAGAGGAATTTGTGCCAAAGTCCCAGCTGAAGATGTGTTTTCAATTATTGTACCACGAATAGATGACATAAAAAATGGACTTGAACCTACATATTAAAGAATTAATTCATATATTAACATAAAATAATTTTGTAACAAACATTATGCTACATGATTTTGAAACTCAGGGTCTCAAGGGGAAGAGAGACAAGTAGAGAGCTTTGGTGGCTTAGTGGTAAGGAGTTGTGCTGCCATTCCAAAGGCAAGTGGTTTGAATCTGCCAGCTGCTCCACGCAAGAAAGATGGGCTATCTCGTATTATGCGATTAGATACCTCTGAAAACCTGCTGGAGGGTCAGTACACAACAAGAGAAAAGTAAGTTAGCACAAGGTACTATGGAGAAGTCTAGGGGGTTAGAGGAGTTTCAGTAAAAGTAGCTGGCGAACTGACTGAGGCCAGGGACATGTAAGAATCAGAATTAACCAGTCTGGAAGAAAAGGGGAAATGAGACTAAGCATTCTCTTCTGGCTCTGCCTGGGATGGGTTTTTGATAGTAGCCATGTTCCCTCTAGTTCCAGTTCCCATTTGGCAGCTCCCTCAGTGATTCTAGATCTCTCTTCTATGCTCTGATCACAGCTCCACTTCTTTAAAATAAAAACAATTTCTAAACTGTATTAGAGCTTAAAATCTGAAGCATTTTGCTGTGGAAGTCAGAAGTCGATGGCAGATTTCTAACTCCATTTTGATTCTTTGCATAATTCAGACATCATTTGAGTTCTTTCTGACCTATAAACTAGCCTGAGAGCTGGTGAACCTATAAACTAGCTTGAAAGCTGGTGACCTAACCTACAGAAAGTTATACTTTCTATGGAATCAAAATGCTGTGCCTCTTTGGTGGTTTGAATCAACCTCTGAGGTGAAGCTGTCAATGATTTCATCTTGCTTAGGTTAATAAGCAACACTCTTAATACCAGCAGTTGGGTTATTAGGAGACGTATTACACTGGGCAAGTCTGCTGTCAGGGACCTCTTCAAATTAAGAGTAATGATATCAGTGTGCACTTCATTCAGGCTATGGTCTTTTCAATTACCTGCTACTTATCTGAGAGCTGGATAATAAATTAAGGATGACAGAAGAAGACTTGATGCCTTTGAGTTGGCATGCTAGAGATGAGTAGAGTACCCCACAGTCTGCCAAAAGAATGAACAGGTATGTCTTGAAAAAAATGCAGTCTATATTACTCCTTGGAGGCAAAGGAGATGAGGTTCTATCTCTCATACTTTGGACATGTTGTTAAGAGAGGCTGTTCCTGGGAAAACTACATCATGCTTGGAAAGGAGTGTCAGCAAAAAAGTGGAAGACCCTGAAGGAGATGGACTGACACAGTGACTGAGGCAATGGATTCAAGCATGTCAGAGTTGTGATGATGGCATGGGATAGGATGTGGTTCAGATCTGTTAAAGGGTTGCTACAGTCTTACTTGACTTCACAGCACCTAACACCACCACCACCACTACAAATAAAGTGAAAAATGGGGAAATCCCCTTCTGTACAATTTACAGCTTTGGAAACCCAGTGGAGGGTCTGCATGAGTCAGTTCTGACTCCAGGGCAATCAGTTTTAGAAACTAGTCACATGGTTTTGCCCTCAAGGAGAGTGTGACTGAAAGGTGATCACAGGACTAAGGAGGGACAGTCTGTTCAAAGAACCAGGGAACTTGTCTAGGCATGTTCTTGCTGATTTCCAGGAGTCATAGCCTTATAGCCAGGTGGTAGGAACTTCATAATCAATCCTTAAATTTTTAAATTTGAAATTGTGTACATAACCCTATATCTGCTTGTAGTCCTGTCTACAATACTCCTCCAAACCTTATAAATGAAAAGTAGAGCCATGGTTCAGCAGACTACTCAAGGCATCATGCTGTGACAGTTACCCTCACTCTAAAATAACTTCTCTGTCTTTGTCCTGTTTATGTCTTAATAAAAGGGTCTCCATATAATATATTTGAATATGGGGTGTTGTTTTTTCCCTGGAGAACAAGCTAAAAGGATAATGAAAACATGTGCTAAATAACGTTGTTGTTATTGTTAGGTGCCTTCAAGTATGATTCATAGTGACCTTATGTGTAACAGATCTGAATCAGGTCCTTTCCTGTGCCATCCTCATCATCTCTGACATACATGAGCCCACTGCTGCAGAAACTGTGTCAACCCACTTCATTAAGTCTTCCTCACTTTACTGACTCTCCTCCTTTCCAAGCATGATGTCCCTTCTTAAGGAATAGCACCCTCCCAACTACCTTTCTGTGATTAAGTTCTGCCATCCTTGCCTTTGAGGAGCACTCTGGCTGCACTTTCTCTATGACATGTCCATTTATTCTTTTGGTAGTCCATGGATATTCAGTATTCTTCTCTGACATCACAACTCAAAGGCCTCAATTCTTCTTGACATTTTCAAATGTCACTTTCTTCTTCTGGCCATTTTCAAATGTTGCTGATGTTATATACTGTCAAGTCGGAATGGACTCACATACTTCAATGGGTTTTCAGAGGTAATAAATCTCAGAGGAGGAGACTGCAGTAAGATCTTCCTCCTGGGGAGTAGCTGGTGGATTCGAACTGTGTGCCTTTGGGTTGGCATCACAACTCCATATCATTAAGCAACATGAGCCCTTTTTTAAAAAGAAAAAAGTATGCTATTTTTTTTTTAAATATTTTTGTGTGTGTACTGTCAAGTCGAATCTGACTGGTACAGGAGGAGATTGTTACTCCTTCCCTGGCAGAGCATCTGGTGGATTCGAACCATGCACCTCTGGGATTGTAGTGTAGCTTCTTGCCACTAGGCCACTAGAGCTCCCCTAAAAGTATGCTATTTTTGAAAAAAGACTAAGACTAAGATTATGGTCTGTGTGGTGCATAAATAAAAAGTAAAACATACTAAAAACCAGCAGCTAGACTAAATATTATGAAGACTGCTTAATTCTAATTTCCCCCATTTTGTTTTATATAGGTCACATACCTCCATTAGATGTGATGCCACTACCTGTAAAAAGATCTTCATTGTGTGCTTCACAATCTTTTTGTTCCATATTAACTATTTTGCCTTTTCTGGGAGATCTTGAAATTATGAATGCTTCCCTGTTTGGTTCTTTTACTTCTTGTCTGAAAAGAGAATTTAATCTTTATTAACACAGAACCAACAGTCAACATTATGATAGATGAAGAAAGGATTGAAGCTGTCAATGGCTTAATTTTGCTTGTATCAATAATCAACCCCCTTGGTACCAGCAATTAGGAAATCAGAAGACAAATTGTACTTAGCAAGTCTGTTGTCAGGGACCTCTCAAAAATGCTGAAGAGCAATGAAAGCAGTTTGAAGACTGAGGTGCACTAACAAGGTGGAGGTAATGGTCTTCTCAAGCACCAACTATAGAGAGATGGACAAAGAAGGAGAATGACAGAACTGATGCCTTTGAGTTGTGGTACTGGAGTTGTTGTTAAGTGCCGTCGAGTCGTAGGTGACTCATAGTGACCCTATGAATGAAAGTCCTCGACACTTGAATGTGTGACTTTCATCCTTTCTCTAGGTTCATAGGGTTTCTGGAGGCAAGCTAGTACTGGAGAGGAGTACAGAATATCCCATGGACTAACTACCAAAAGAACAAACAGATATGCCTTAGAAAAACGGCAGCCATAGGCACAGATGGCAAAGCTTCATCTTTCAAACTTTGAACATGTAGCTAGGCAAGGGTGTTCCTTGGTAAGGCACATCATGCTTGGAAAGATGGAGAGTCAGTGAAGAAGAAGAAAAACTCCAGTGAGATGGACTGACACAGTGACTTCAACAATGGGCTCTAGAGTGTCAGAGATTGTTAGGATGGCACAGGATAGAGCAAGGTTCAGGTCAGCTGTTCACAAGGTTGCTGAGTTGTACCTGATTCAATGTCACCTAACAACAACAACAGAGTTAAAAAAAAATTATATAAGAAAAGGATTGACATTGTCAATGATTTCATCATACTTGGATCCACAAATTAGCATCCTTGGTACCAGCAATCAGGAGATCAGGAGACGTACCACACTGGGCAAGATATAAGTAAATATCTAAAATATTTAAAAGCAATGATGTCCATGTAAAGACCATGTAAAGTGTGTTTGATTCAGACTATGGTCTTTTCAATTAACTGTTATGCATCTGAGAGCTGGACAGTGAATAAGGATAACAGAAGAAGAATTGATGCCTTTGTGTTTGGGTATTGGAGAAGAACACTGAATACCCTATGAACTGCCAAAAGAACAAACAAATTGGGAAAAATATGGTCATAGTAGTCCATAGAGGCAAGGAAGCTTCATCTCACATACTTTGGGCATGCTTCTAGAAGAAGCTATTCCTTAGAAAGGGACATCATGTTAGGAAAGAGAGACCCTCAACAAGACAGACTGACACAGTGATGGCAACAACCAGCTCAAGTGTATTAGAGATGACGTGGATGGCACGGGACCTGACAGGATTCAGATCTGTTATTCAGAGTTGCTATGAGTCGTACATGACTTGATAGCACCTAACAAGAAAAAGATCTAGAAATTAAAATATGTAGACATTTTTTAAATGGATAGACCAGACAATGACTTTACTAACATTTGAAACTTAGTAATTCATCAGGTAAATATTTATATAGAAAAACGTGAAATTAGCAAATTAATAGACCCTTATTATCTGAATTATTGACTTAGCTAGACAAGTAATTTATCAAAGTCAAGCTGAAAAAAAACTATTATGAAAATAAAAATCTAAATATTGTTCAAAAATTACTATTACTCAAAATAAAAAATCATGGTATTACCATTCTAATTTGAGGCAGCCTTTTTTCCCCTCTTAATTCTCTTTCATAAGAGTTGTGGTTGTGGTGGTGTATTATCCGAGTTGGGGCCAACCCATAGCAGACCCTCTAGTGCATTTTCATAAGCAGAATTTAAACCATATGCCATTGGTATTGCAGTGCAATAACCTTCTGTTTTTGTTGTCGATTACCATCAAGTCGTGCATGTCTCATAGCGACTTCAAGAACAAAAGACCTGAGGCCTTTCTATAACTATTGTTTCTCCAAGTTCATAGTTTTCAGAGGCATGTGGCATACCCTTCTAGCAAAATTAATTACCCTTTTTTAATTAAATGTTTATTATTTTTAATGCAACATATATATTTTTACAGCATATTCTTTCCATTTAATTTCCCCCATTCATTCATTGTTGCACATTTTCCTCCCTGCCTACCTCCCCTGTTCGTTCTTCTCTTTGATGAAAAATCTTTGTTATACAATTCCCTCCCCCAAAGTCCACAGTCCACTTTAATATGAATTTCTTTTTCTGTAATCTTGTCATGAAAACAACACCTAATCCTACATATTCCTTTTAAACTGTTCTCTCCCTCATCTGTTTCAATGCAGTATACAATATTTATCCCCTCTTTTCTTAGGTGGCCCCAACCCTAGTGTTAGTCCCATTTTACAACAGTGGCACTATGCAGTATTTGTCCTTTTGTGATTGAGATATTTCACTCAACATAGTGTCTTCCAGGGTAAAAGGGTAAAATGGTGCAACCACTATGGAAGGCAGTATGGTACTTTCTCAAAAAGTTACAAATAAATATACCACTTGACCCAGCAATTCCACTACTGGAAATATACCCTAAATAAACCAGAACTGCCACCCAAGCAGATGTATGCACACCCATATTTATTAGTGGCTTTGTTCACAATAGCAAAGAGTTGGAAACAACCCAATGGCCATCAACAAACAAATGGATAGAGAAGCTCTGGTATATTCACACAAGAATACTATGCTGCGCTGAAAAACAAAGAACTCGTGAAATATTATACAAAATGGGTGACCCTGGAGGACATTATGCTGAGTGAAATTAATTACCTTTTAACCACTGTCAAATAATAAAAGAAAGCATTTCTCTGACAAAAATAATTAGCAAATTAGAAATAATTACGGTTACAAACATTCCTTTATATCAAATAGTACTCATTGTATTGTATTAGGCTGGTGGAGACTAAGTTTAAAGAAGTATGGCAGTAACTTGATTCCAAATTTCTCCCTCAACCTCCTCAAAGAACCATAACCAATGAGAATGCCGTTAGATGTCAGCAAGCCAAAAAGTATTCCTAGTGATTCTATGAATACTGAAGAAACCTTGCCTTGTCTCATGATTTCTGCTATGTTCAAACCCACTGCTGACTTTCCATTTTCCTAGGTTCATACTTCGTATATTCTATGTTCAAATCATTATTGGACCTTTTCCCCCCAGCTACTTCTCCTCATTCTGAGTTTTTCCATATTGCAAATGAAGGCCCTTCACTAGGTGTGAAAGCTTTACTCCACACATGTCACTAAAGTAGATTCTACTTTGAGGCGGTAGCTCTTCTCCAGTGGCATTCTGAATACCTTCCAATCTGAGGGGTTCTTCTTCCAGTACTATATCCAACAATGCTTCTAAGTTGTTCATAGTGTTTTCAAAGGCCTGTTATTTCATGAGTGGATGAACAGGCCTGCTTCCTAGTCTGGAAGTTTCTCTGAAACCTATCCACCTTACGTGACCCTGTTTATTGAGACATGGGTGGCAAAGCTTCGAGCATCTCATACACACAGTATGGCAAACTAATAAATGAATGGTGAGTCAATAAAGTAAAACAAATTAAAAAAAAAACACACAAACCACTTAAGCTCCGTATGAGAGTCTGGGGTATCAGAACCCTTGAAAATTGGCTTTTCTAGTCATTGTGCTGGCCCCCATTGGGGAGGCATAGTCTTGCCAAACACCAACAGCTGTGCAATCAATATAAGAGAACACTTTCCACTCTGCGAGACAGTGGTAGAGGGACTGTGAAGACACAGTGAGAGACCATGGTGGAGAGACTATGGCACTGCTGTGAGAAAACTGTGACAAGTTATAACCAGAGCAACCTTGGTGCTGACTTATAACTGCTATGAGATAAAATAAAGCCTGCTGGTTACAGAGGTAACCAGTGGCTTCTTGCATTCGTGCTGTTAAACTGCTGTTGAACCTGGACTTTCACTAATTGAGGAACTGTGATTTGTTAATCTGGCTTGGGGCTGCTGGACTAAACCTGGACTTACATTGTGAGATACCTATTTCCCTAATAAATGCCACAACTCTAAGTTAAGCCTGAGAGTCTTTCAATGCACACTGAACTCAATGATTGGTAAAATAGGTGTAGGAGCATGTGGGGTGGCATGTCTATGTAGTTATTTGTATGGTACTATGGACATTATTGATGAGCATAGTTCTTTTTTATGAAGTGGATAGAAGTCAGACTCTTTCCCTATGTTGTGTTGCCTCCTTTTGAAGAGTCTAAAATCAAAGATAACTTGGTCTGTGTATAGACAGGGCAGTATAAAAGTGAGGCTTTCATTTTAAACTCTTGAATAGAGGCTAGAATCTAGGTTGTATTAGCAATTCCGGATAGCTATTCTGGCCATATATCCATTTTCTCTAAGATCTGGCAAGTAAATGGTATGTAATGTATTCCCAAATGATCTTGAATATAAGGTAGGCAAGAGTTGGACTTGACTCAACAGCAGCTTCCTGTTCTAGAACAAGTAAGAGTGAAGAATATAAAAAAAATGCAAGGAAACAATTAGTCTACAGCACCAATGGATCTCATGATATTCAACTTCCATGACCATGAGACTGTAACTAGATGGTATCTGGCTGCCAATGCTAACCACACTGAAACTATTAACAACACAAAGTCCTGGATAGAGTGTGCAGAAGCCACAAGACTGCAGCTTTCAGTTCCCTTTTGAGACTAGAATTAAGCTCATCTTTTTGATACAACTTGCAGCCAAATAACAGACATATCTTTTAGGTGAACAATAACACAAGGGAGATACTCAGCATTTACAATTACCTCAATCACACAGAATCATAAAAGCAGCATATGTCCAAGGACAAAACTAAAAAAGTAGAGAGGGAGAGATTAAGGGATGAAAAAAAACAAAAATCAGAGAGATAGTGGAAATAATCAGTATCATAAAACAATTTTTGTATGAATGAATGGTT